TGCCATTTGGACCCTGGTGGTGCGTTCCCACTACCCTTCGGATGAGACAGTGGTTGTTCAGGTTCGTACCCTTGCTGTGCGGTTGGTCCGGTTGGAGAAACTTCTTGGTATGCTGTATGCCCCCTAGGTGGAGGCGGCACAGCCAGAGCTGGTGTACCTGAGTCCCAAGCCACTGCTATAGCCGATGGAGCTGACCCCCATGGACCTGGAGGAGCAGAAGCTGCCCCCAAGGTAGGTTCGGAGGTTGGGCGGATGCCCTCCAAGTCCCCGGAGCTGGAGGAGCGGCTGGAGGTGTTGAGGTTGTGGTCAGCCCTGCCCCCTAAGGGTCAGTAGTTCCTCCTCCGGCAAGGGCATTTCCTTGACCGTTTGCCCCCGCGGGTGATGTGGACGCACTTATACCACCGAACAAAGAATTGTTTTGCCATTGAGACACCAATGGTGCATACCCGCTGCTCTCTGGAGGTCTTTGATGTGGTGGCAACCTTACGGTGGCGTGCCCCGAGGACTGCCAAGGTCCTTCAGGCACAGTCTCATCCGGGGGGTTATTGTTTTCGTTTCTTTTTCCGAGTATGGTTACGTTGCTCTATTGGAGCGTCCTTGGGGGATGTCCGGACATGCCCCCCTGTCCTGCTTTGCTGGAGGAGCATTTTTATCATCTCCGCGGCTGGTCACTAGTGTTTTTCCTTTGCGCAACTTCTCCTCTCTCGTTCATGTAATTTCGTTTCGGATGGTGGGCTTGAAAATGTCGGAAAAATACTGAGAGAACGTCAATGCTGTCGTGGAGGGCAAATCGGATTTCTCCACGAATATGATCTTGCAGAACACTCGTAGGGATCACAATCATCCTGTCCACACATCCCGGAGTTGCAGAGAACTTTCTGGAGATGCGTGGGGATGAAGTTTTAGCGGCAATTTCCTTTTTTTTGATATCATAACTTTCTTCGGTGATGGTAATTTGCGACTCCTAAGTTGCATAAAAAGTGCGAGATTTTTCGGAGTCCCACCAGGCGTGCCAATCTGTTGTCGTTGAAATTCGTCGATGACGGCCAAATGTATCGGGCCTGTCAAAATCGACAAATCAGATTCCCCGGCCTACTCAAGAAAGTATCCGGGCTAAGTCTAGCGCAAAAATCAATTGGTATAAAAATTTGTAGGAATTGAGATGCTGGATCAAAGAAGAAAAAATAAGAAAATTCGAATAGAACAATTAAATTCGACAAGAATTTAGGAAACAAAATTTGATAAGGAAAGTAATAAATTGTGCAGGAATGAAAACAAAGAAAAGAAAAGAGAGGGAATTGAATTATGCAGGATTGAAAGTTTGGCTAAACAAATAAAAAGAGAAAAAAATAATGAAATTATTAGAGTGAATGGTGCAGACCGTGCGTTTTTCTTCTCCTTCTTGCCCCTCTTTTATATTGTATGTCTTGCCCTTATCCCTTAATTTTATGAACTGTTTTACCCACTTTCCTTATTTCCTTATTGTGCTCCTTTTAAATCCACATTACTTTCTTCCCAAGTTTGCCCACTTGAATTTATGAACCACTTTTTCCACTACTTTCACTCTTCATCCGACGAGCACGCGTGCGCAAGTACTCTTTTGGGTTGGTTTTGCTCATTGTGCTCTCATCCGGATTGAGTTTGTGAAACTTTGAGTCTGTTTCTGATTCATCTTAAAATGTAGAATAACAAAAATTATTATTTATTAGTAGTATAGGAGAATTGATTTGAGATGGAATAAAATAATAAAATGTAGAATAGATGAGTGAAGTGAATAATATTTTATAGAAAAAGGATAAAATAATGAGTTAGGTCATTTGTGTTTTTGGATGAATTTTTATGTTATGTGCGATAAATTGTGTTAATATAAAAAATATTTTGTATATTAAATTATTAATTTTTTGTGAGTGTATAAAGTATAAATATTATAATATTATATTAATATATGTACATTATATTTTTTAATAATATTTATAAAAATAGTACCATCTAATAGCACTAAGTAAACAAAACCAATATTCATGTACTGTTCAAATATATTTATCAATTGTGATTATATATTTTATTATTTTAATAAAATTTATATTTAATCGAAAAATATGTCATCCTTAGTATATTGAACATCACTCCTATAAATTTTTACAAATTTTATTTATGCTTCTCTTATTAATTATTTTTAATCATTCAATAATTATGTTAAATAAATTTAATACATAGTATTTATTAGCATATGCGACAGTAAAAGAAAAAAAAAACTACATCTACAATCTAAATACGTATTTAATTTTTTTGGCACAATTTTTAATGTATGTATTTTTTTTAGTTTTTACTATATGCAGTAAAAGAAATGTAAAAACATGGTACTCCCTTCCTCTTAAAAGAGACTATTTGAAATTTTATAGTATACTGAAAAATCATAGTATTTTGGTTAGTGAAAGTGTCTAAGATATTTTGATATTTTTGCCTTTTGATTATTTGTATAAAATAATTGTACGTGTAACGATATATTTGTAATTTAGATAAAGTTAGTGGAATTTGGTATTAGTGTATGATTTCTTTTACTAAAAAAATAAAAAAAAATACTTTTGAATGAGATGAACTAAAATTGTTAAAAGATACTTTGAGAAACGGAGAGAATAGATATATATATATATTTATATGAAAAGAAAAATAAGAATATATTTTTATGAAAGCCTAAAAAATATAATAGTTTAAATGACAAAAAAAAATGCTTATTCTCTAATAACTATGTTATTACACGGAGTTCCACTAGCATTGACACATTATATAACCAAAATTCTGAAAGATTAAAATAATCTATTAACTTTGTTCCCACTCAAATTACACTTTGGAATGACCTCGTCGATACCGAGGGATCGAAAATCGTTGCTTTGCTAGCTGACCGGCCTATTATTGCTGCTCTTCATGTCAAGGCCTCCGCATTCCAAGGTTTTAATATCTTGGAGCTTATAATATGATACATACATAAAGTTAATAGATTATTTTACTTAAGTTTGTATTATATTGTTTTAGGAGTTTCTCTGTCAGCAACTTCAATGCCTCACATTTTGTTTGACTTAACGCATCTTGAGGTTATGATCCTCCAGCAAAGGTAAATATTACCAATCAATACTTGTTGGATTACAAGTATACCTAGGCATTAATAATCCCTTTGATTGATAGAAAAAAAGATGAAAAGGTTTATATTGATCAGTTAATCGAGACTAAGCTATATCATACTAGTACATCCAGGCTTGCAAGCATGGAATCTTCAATAATAACAGTGGACGATATGTGCATATCAAGTATGTCGTTGCTAAGCTCTTATGCATATTTTTTTTAAAAAAACAATTCAATATGGTAAGAAGATTAACATAATTAATTCAATTACTAGGCTGGAGATCATATAGTCAAAGGCAGTTTCGAAATTGTATCTGGGAACAAAGTCAGACTTTCGTATGATGCTTGTTGTAAATGGCATACTTCCACAAAAACTCTGTCACCACGCACATTTTATTGTTTCCGCTATTTAGATGTTTAGATTTCAGAGCCCAGGTAGCCATATCAACATGTTAAAAACCTCTGTATTTTAATATAGCCAGCTCTAACCATATTTATTTTATGTTAGGTACATGTTAAACATTGAGATATTTGATACAATTGGATTAGTTAGAGGTGTCGCTTATGAACAAATTGCTGGTCAGTTACTGGGGTGTGATTGTGGAACTTTGGAAGCTCGTTCTGATAAGGTTCCATAGTCTAAATACTATTATCCTTTTACACTTCTTATTTCGACGTGTATTACATTACCTTCTTACGATATACATTAAGTCCCAAATTATAATAACATTTGGATTTCTTGTTTGCTTAGGATATACAAGCTTATGTTGACAAGCGTAATAAAGAAGTCGAGAACGATGAGTTGATTTTCGTAATATAAAAAAAAAAATTACGTCCTCAACAAAGTGTACAAATGAAAGTTATACTGTAAATATATAGTGCCAAAAAAATTGCAGCACTTGGAGCAAGTTATACTTACCTTGTACACTACAAAAAAATAGTATATTTGTAATGGAATTCTGTCACTAAAGATCACGTAGCTAACGTAATTCCATCATTAATTCCGTCTCTAATATCATTAGTAACGAAAAAAGTGACTTTAAAGACGAAAAAATCTCGTTACAAAAATGATATTTTCTTGTAGTGGTATGACATATTTGGTCGTCTTATTTGGAAAGTGACGTCACTCATGCCATTTCATCACCTTTTCCACCAAATATCGCATCGGGACTGACTCCAAACGAACCATTGAACAGTGAAACGAAACAAAATAACACGACGAATAAAAGACTAACTTGCTATATATATATATGTTTATCCTTTCTGAATTAATTAAGCTGTATGGGAGAGATACAACCTCTATCTTTTACCATTTACACACACTTTATCAGTCTTTATCGATCTATCCACTTATGTTATTGATCTTAGCTTGTCCTTTTTGGAATTCCTGTCTCACCTTATAATATTTTAGATCCATCCATCCATCTATCTTCCTTACCTTCGTTTCTTTCCTCAAAGTATGATACAATGAATCAATTCTCTTATTTTTTTGGATTTCTATAACTTAATGTCACTACAAAAAAAGTACGCTTTTGTCATGAATTGAGCCATCATAACAATATGTTTGTAACAAATGGTATTTTTAGTTACGATAAATATTGTGACAAATAATATTCAGTTAGTCAACCTTAATATTTTATTTGGTATGATAATATATTTGTAACTATTACAATTTGAATGAAATATCATCCTAAAAATATTTATAACGCAAACATTCCGTAACAACTAGTAAAATATGATGATATTTTTAAAATAAAATATTAATATCAAATATATGTAATTTTTTTTATTAAAAAAAGAAAAATAAATACATTAAAAAAAATCAAAACACTTTCAAGACCTATCATAGTATATTTGATTCCACGCTTTAAAATTTTTATTTCCACTCTTCTCCATCTCAAATACGATTTTGAAGCCCTACATACCCATGGATGAAATCAAAGAATGGCGTCTTTCACAACCATTCTTCAGCCGCGCCAGTGAGTTTTGCAGCCACAACGAACTGGTTTCGGCGACATGGTATTTTCTTGGTTTCCTTTTTTGAAAACCCTCGATTTTGATTGATTTGTTTTGTGAGTGACCTCAATCGCTTTCGATCTATCTATAACGTGTATAAAGACATCAGAGTTCAGCTTCTAGGTTTCACATAATTAAATTTCTTGGTTTGAGATTGATTAGATGCTTTGATTTGTGAAATTATGAATTATGAATTTTGTGAGGAATTGCTTGAATTCTTGGCAAGGATTAAAGTGGATATCTTAGCTCTATCTCTTTTCACTCTTTCTCTCTTTCTCTTTTTAATATTTTTTTTTAGTGTTTAGTTGGTGAAAAAGTGAGGATGCTACAAAGAAGACTCTGATTAGTGACCAAGTCTTTCAAATTTGAGTAAGTTTTAATGTGATTGACTTTAGTAGTTTAGAATGATTTGACCACACTTTTAGGATCGATCACAAATGCTTTTACTAGGAGTTGCTTGTTGTGACAGGAAAACAAAATTGAAAGTTGGGGAAGGAGGCTTTGAATTTGCAGAAAAAGGTTAGTCTATAGTTTAGTGTTAAAAAGAAGTTTCAAAGATTATATTTGGCAATTGCATTCTTTCCATTTACATGAATTGTGTTATAGCCATGTCAACGAGAACGTTCAAGTAATTACGAGCACCAAACTGCTACTTCAATACTTTCAAACATAATAATGATTTATTCTTTGGGTGTCACGAGATGGCTGCCTTTAATCTTTTTCCTTAGCTTATGTGATATTGCATGAATGTTTTGATTGCATTTGCATTGTTGGGGAAAACTAGGAGTGGAGGATGGTGTACCAAATGAAATGTAGGTGACCAAATCATGATTTTCCAAGCTTTAGATCAGCATGTCTTTTTTCTTATCATTGCTGCCCGTGATTCATACTTATTAGTAAAGCATTTGAAATCTAAAGTTATGTTGTTTGTGAATTGTGATAGATATAGAAATTACAAAAAAGACTAACAACATTTTTTTTGTAGTTAAAAAGTTTAGATATGAAACAAAAGGAATGCCCTGCTATAGACAGGAAGTAGGGAGAAACTAGAATGTCAGTGAACATTTTTTTTACATTCTATTTCAACATCTAGCCATGCAGTTTGATGTTTTTTTTCCTTGTATATGTTGACATACTTATACATTGGAATGATTGTTGTGTTACATGAATACATGCTATATGTTAAATGGATTGAGTTCTTCTTTTGTGAATGCCGCATGAGGTCTTTACAAAACCAAAAATCAATTCATACGGGAGAATGAATATTGCATATCCTTTTGTTGTGTTTATCTTTCGTTATTAGTCACATAATTGTTTCAGGTTCAATATAAATACGGAAGGTGTATGATTTCATTTAATTTGACTTCCTATGCCTAATTGTAATTTATTGTTGTTTTTATCTTCCTCATTCCATTTTTAGTCAGCCACATCACTATGTTATGTTTATCATTTTCTTTAAAAGTAGGAACCATGTTTGTTATGTTTACATTCCTGATTCAAGGGGTGCTCTTGTCAAAAGGAAATTTGCAACTCGTTTTAGTAAGCTTTCTTTTTTTTTGTTAAGGATTTTTTTCCTAAACTTATTAGTTATTTTATTTGTTGCTCTTTTATTACGATGGTTAGTTTACGTAAGTGAGAATTGTTCACATTGGATTGAGATGCAATAATACCTATATCTAAGTTTTTCTCATTACGTTTTATGATGAGTGCTTGTACAAGCTTGATTTCTTGATACTTTATCAAGTCTCTACTGCAGTACTGCATTTACCTGTATTTGTTTGCTTTTCATGTAATAAAAATTAACTCATCGTATCCAATGTCCTATATTTATTCCTTTTTTGGGTATGCTTACTTATTTCCTGTCCCTAATGGATATCTTCTTAATTTATAATATTCTAAAACAATCTAGACAATCAGAGGAAGATTTAAAGTGAGAAATGTAAATAATATATGGAATCCTTAATGTTGTTATATAAGGTCTAGAATGTGAATTTGATGGTATATAAATTTTACCTTTGTTGTTCCCCATGGCTCACACAAGCATGTTCTGTAGTTGTGCTTGTATTATTTTTAATCAATATTTGGGATCTAATTGCAAGCAACATGTACTGCTTTTCTGATATAGCTTTATATGGTTTCAATACATTGATATTCAGTAAATTTAAATTATATTAATATGCTTCCTTGTAATTTTTATTGTAATATCTTTGGTTCAAAAGAAAACTTATTTACCATAGCTATCAAAAAAATAAGATAATAATACAGTATCCGCCAAGGAGGAAGAAGTAAGTGATTGAGTCATAGTGTACACTATATAGTTCTTACATTTTGTGAATCATAGTGTGAATAGTTTCCTCTTTGGTAGAAAGGTTGGCGAATTGATATCTAATTTCTCCGGATGGTACACCATATAGTTCTTGCATTTTGTGAATTCTCACTTATTTTTCCGTGACAGAGCATCAAGCAGTTTTTTGTTGCAGTAGAAAGAGAGGAATGAAAGTTCGACACTCTTTGTGTACCCTTACAATAGAGCAGGCTGTGACCTTCTGCAATAAGAAATGAAAGATAATTTCTTTTGTTAAATCTGCATTCCTATGTTGAATCTGTTAACTAAAGGGTAGTCATATGCAATGTTTTTTCTTTATGGTACACAATAGTTATGAGCCAAGAGAATAAATTAGGCAAGTATTTTTATGCTCGCCTTTTATTTGTATCAGATTGATTGGCCCTCTTGAAAAATACATGAGAATAGCTTCACCATTTTATCCATGCATGGGATATGCCTCAAAAGGAATTAGATGCATTATGAATGAATTTCGGTCTGGACAAACCTAAGTTCTTATCACAACAGATGTTTGGGCTAGAGGACTGGATGTTCAGCAGGTACTCTTCTATACTTTTCACTAATACCTAAATGTTACAAAATTTGTCCAAGATACCATACATAATTTCCCATCTACTTTCTGGTCCGATGATTGGTAAAATGTGGCAGCTGAGATGAGATGCAAAGTATAAAGCCCTTGGAATAAACAATGAACTTTAAATTTTTTGATCTTATCAATCAGTCTTGTCTGTAAATACAACGAATGAATATTAATATGTAGGAGAAATACTGGTTTATAATTGAACTCTTGTAGGTTTCTCTACTGATTAATTATGATATGCTCAACAATCGAGAGCTTTACATTATTCTCATATGATGATCTGACCGGTTTAGTAGAAAGGTAAGTTCTATATGTTTCTTCCATGGTTTTCTATAAAGTAAAAGTTCTCTAATAATTATGTGATGAGGATCATTAACATATAATTAGATTTATTAGTCGTCGGTACTCTAAACTTGAACTCATCAGCGGGTGTATGCTCATATTTAATGCATAAATGGTAATTAATCTCCATGAGACATGATAATACGAAACATACATGGAGTAGTCCCATTTGGGGGTAACCATATGGATTTATTACTTATTGAAATTATTATTTTAATGTTGTACATGATCTGCTGCTTTACTTAGGTTTTATTGGTGGATGAGTTGTTTATAGTTTGAGTTGCAATCACACAAGAAATTAGAAAGTAGTGTTTTTGGTGCCTAATTCATGGGTCGAATACCATGTATTGTAGTACATGTCTGAATGTACATACTCATGTTGTATGAGTTGGGAAGTTTACACTTCAAATGTGTTATGGCATGTTATATATAGAGTTTGATTGTGTGTTGATATATACAGTGAAGTACATACTCAACAATTGTACTTGTGAATGTTGTAGGTGACACATTTTTCCTTGTCAAGGTCTTCGTTACATTTGCCTGAGTCCCGGACACACCACTTATTTTTCCAACAATTGTTGGGGCGACTTCCATTCGCGACGTTGTTGGTGAAGATCCTATTAAGTGGAACTACAAGGATGCTTGGATATACTTTCATACCTTTCATTTATTGAACTCCAAAACTTCAAAGAAATATTACTTAAACTAAACCTCCTTCTGTTGGTAATTGCAGCTCATGCACTACCCCTGAAGCATATCAACCGATTCCTTAATGTTTTGCCCCCGTTTGCCTTATGGATTGGATGCTGTAGATGTGTTTGGATGGTAGGTTGTTACGGCTATGTGAAATACCTATGGAATAGATGCATAGACATTTGGAGTTATCTTTTGTGTGGTGAGAATTGTTGCTATGGATTGATGGATTTCTCCACTTGCTTATTACTAGGTTGGATGTTTAAAATGCTTGCGTTTTGCGGTACATAATATCGAAGTGAAGATGTTGCTAGGATTTTTTGATGGGTTACTTTATTTTGTTGTTCAGTGGTGGACATCGACTAGTAAATATTGTTATGCTAATATCCTATGTTGTGATCCCCTAATAGTGTTTATTGTTTGCAATTATGGCCAATCGTAATATTTATAGCATGGTTGTATACAAAATTTCCTTTGGTGTAAGAAAGATCACAAAGGTTAATTTGTTACGCACAATTTCAACTGTACCACAACTACTCTTTTTTATGAGACGCTATTTTTTTGTAACAAAACGGAAGAAATGACGTAACAAAATGTTGTTTTGGATGTTTTTTGTTACGACCGATTCTGTGACCATAAGAATGGATAGTTTTGTTAAGGGTTCAATGACATAACAAAAAAATAAAATGACGTAACAAAAAAATGAAATGAAGTAACAAAATTTGTTTTTGGACGTAACAAATATGAAGGGATAATTTTGTTACGGCCGTTTTCGTGACCATAAGAAAATATATTGTTTATTACGGCTTCAATGACGTAACAAAAAATCGTAACAAAAAGCGTACTCTGACAAGTAGTCATAGTAAATTTTTTGGTATCGCAAGGAACTTTTGTAACAAATATCGTGACTAAAAGTCCTGGCACACGCGTGGGAAGCTTGACTTTTTATTACGAGAGAATATTTTTAACAAATATGGTAACAAAAACCTTGCCATAAGGAACGTTGACCGAGAGTAGTAGTTACGAAAATGTGCATGGCAAAAAATATTCGTTACGTGAGTACACATTACGGATAAAAGTCATCACTAAGGCGTAGCAAATACGCAAATTACACGAAAATTGGCTTTTTGTTACGAATTTCTAGCCGTAGCAGAAAAATATTTTTTTGGTAGTGTGTATTTTAGTCATGCTTCTTCTAATTTTCTGCATAGGTGCGTTTCACAAATGAGAATGACCGAATCATGCATGCATTCAAATTTGTGTCTGCGTTGAATGAATTATAGCTTCTTTAATTTGCAACAACTCAAACAACACAACGAGGTCATTTCCACAATGTTTTGCTAACTTCACTTGTCATTAAACCCGCCTCACCTACCTAACGATAGGCATTCCAAATATTAGAATTCTTACAAAAGCAATTGTCGGACATGGGTCCAAAAGCACCTGAACGTGAATGAGGCTCAAGGATAAAATTGGAGTCAGAGCTCATTGGCCACGGAGCCGCTCAACAGCAATGGAACTTCAAGCCTTGGAGCCAAAGACTGCGGCCTCTACAGAGCCGAATGCAACAGTTTCCATTGGATTGTGGTGCTTCCACAGGGCCGAAAGCAGCAGCCTCTATGGACCTTAGGACAACAACTCCTTAGACTATGGCGCCTCCATCCCGGATCAATGTTTCCATAAGGTCAGAAAGTACTGTCTCCATTGAGTTGAAAACAACTACCTCAATTGGACTGCGGTGCTTCCACAAAGCAGATGAAGGTTGCCTCCACAAGATAGAAAACAACAGCTTCCACGGATCATGGGATAACTACCTCTGTTGGCCCTGGGTTAATAATTTTTGACTTAACATTAGTGGAAGTCCTATGCACTTTCATGCTTTATTCAAAAAGCTCCATGGAACAAGCCAACAAGAGGAAAACCGAAGATTCCATTTAACTCGAGGCTGTTGGCGATACATCCCCGCGGACCAGCTAGGAGTACGATGGAAGAAAATCAAAGTAAGCGGCAGATTTAGTCCAGAGGCAATGGAAGAAGTTCAGAGCAAGTGGAACCCGATCCAGAGGTAATGGAAGTGGTTGGGAGCTGATGGAAGAAGTTCAGAGCAAGTGGAACCTGATCCATCGAAATCGGTCGTTTAGGCTCAAACCCTTGTTTAAGATCGACGTCATGCAGGCTCCATTGCAGGAGCCACCTAAAATCCGACGACAGACAGGCTCTTTGGAGTACTTCCGGAACCCACACCGATGAATCGACGAACGGTCTTGGAACCTCCGAATTTTAGGATCCATCAATTGGCACGCCCAGTGGGACCAAAGTCAGAATTTTCGAAGAGTGATGTCGAGGTTGACATGGGGTTCTTTTGTACCGCCTGAAAAAAGCTACGGAATTTTTTCAGAACATCCAATGCTTCAGGCTTAGGGCCGTGGCAGGCAAGATCAGACTGGAACCAATAGCCTGTAGGAAGCTGGAAGCAACAGCCTGCGGAGGGCTGGTACCACCAGTCTGCAGAAGGCTGGTTCCAACAACCTGTGGATGGCTGGAGCCAACAGCCTGCGGAGGGTTGGAACCACCAGCCTGCGGAAGGCTTGAACCACCAGTTTGTAAAATGCTGGAACCAACAGCCTGCGGAGCGCTGGAGCCAACAGGTTGTAGAGGGCTGGAACCCCTTGGCCGTTGATGTTTTGAATAGCAGTGCTGAGCTTCCACGATGGGCAAGCAAATTTGCAGCATTTGGCATGATCCCGCCAGGGCGATTAAGCGGACAAACTATATGGAATGTGCCAACACCACCATGGGGATGTCACGGTTCGAACGTGGCTAATCTCAAATGGAAGAGGATTATCGAAACATAGGGACAAGGAGGGCAGACAGCAGAGATGCAACCACCAACCTTCCATCAGCAGGCAACCGGAGGGCAACTGCTGACACCAAATTAATAGGAAGCCAAAGGAGGGCATTTTCAAAAAGGATGTTTGAAAAGAAGCCTTGTGCCATTTTGAGCGCGGAAAATTTACCTCCATACGAAAAAAAAAACTATGGAGGTAGAGGGTCCAGATGCTGTGGAGGCTCCAATCGATAAGGAGTCTGCGGAGGCAGATGTTCCAGAAGCCATGGAAGCTCCAGAGCTTATGGAGGCAAAGACTCCAGAAGCTGTGGAGGCTCCAGTTGAAAAGGAGTCTGCGGAGGCAGAAGTTCCAAAAGCCATGGAAGCTCCAGAGCTTGTGGAGGCAGAGACTCCAGAAGCTGTGGAGGCTCCAGTTGATAAGAAGTCTGAAGAGGCAGAGGTTCTAGAAGCCATGGAAGCTCCAGAGCTTGTGGAGACAGAGATTCCAGAGGCTGTGGAGGCTCTAATTGAAAAGAAGTCTGCGGAGGCAGAGGTTCCAGAAGCCATGGAAGCTCTAGAGGTTATGGAGGCAGAGACTCAAGAGGTTGTGGAGGCTCCAGTTGAAAACGAGTCTGTAGAGGCAGAGGTTCCAGTAGCCATGAAAGCTCCAAAAAAGAAGCAGGCTATGAAGCCACTTCAAGAAATAAAGCAGACTGTAGAGCTGCTAAGGAAGCAGGTTGTAGAGCCGTTTCTAAAAAGAATGCAAGCCATGGAGCCACAAAGGAAGCAGGCCATGGAGCCGCCTCAAAAAAAGAAGCAGACTATGGAGCCACTTCCAAAAAGAAAGCAGGCTGTAGAATTGCTAAGGAAGAAGGCCTGGAGCTGCCTCATAAAAAGAAGCAAGTTGTAGAGTCGCTTCCAGAAAGGAAGCAGGCCATGGAGGTGCCAACAAAGCAGGTTGTGGAGCCGCTTCCAGAAAGAAAGCAGGCCATGGAGCCGCCAAGGAATCAGGCCATGGAGCCGCCTCAAAAAAAGAAGTAGGCTATGGAGCCGCTTCCAGAAAGAAAGCAAGCTGTAGAGCCGCTAAGGAAACAGACTATGGAACCGCTAAAGAAGCAGGCCATGAAGCCGACTAAAAAAAAAAAGCAAGTTGTAGAGCCACTTTCAGAAAGGAAGCAAGTTGTGGAGCCGCTTCAAGAAAGAAAGCAGGCCATGGAGCCGCCAAAGAAGCGGGCCATGGAGCTGCTGCCAAGTAAGCAGGCTTTGGAGCCACTTTCATAGAAAAAACAGGTTGTGGAGCCGCTTCAAGAAAAGAAGCATGCTATGGAACCGCTTCCAGAAAGAAAGCAAGTCATAGAGCTGCCAAGGAAGCAAGTTGTGAAGCCGCTTTCAGAGATAAGGCAGGCTGGGGAGCCATTTTCAGAAAGAAAGCAGGCTGTGGAGTCACTTTCAGAGAACAAGCAGGCTGTGGAGCCGCTTCAAGAAATAAAGCAGGTTGTGGAACGATAAGGAAGCAGGTTCTAGAGCCACTTTCAGAAAGGAAGCAAGTTGTGGAGCCACTTCTTGAAATAAAGCAGATTGTGGAGTCACTAAGGAACCAGACTATGGAGTCATTTCCTAAAAGGAAACAAGTAGAGGAGCCTCCAGAAGAAGTTCAAGAGTTAGAGGAAGTTGTCGTTGACGAAGAGCCTATATTCGAATGGAATGATGTGGCAACGATGATAAAATTTAAGAGGCTTGGGCCTGACCAAAACCAACATGTCAAGCCTTTACACATTCGGGTCTCGATGAATGGCTATCCGCTTGACCAAGTTATGGTGGACAGTGGAGCTTCTGTCAATGTGTTGCCAATTGAGACCCTACGGAAGTTTGAAAAGACTAGTGACGATTTGATTTCTACATTTGTATGGCTTACCAATTTTGTGGGAAATTCTTACAAACCAGCAGGTATGATCACTTTGAATGTGTTGGTGGGGACAAAGGAAATATCATCAAATTTCATGGTGATTGATAGTAGGCCATTCTATTCGGCTCTCTTGGGACAGAACTGGATTCATGCATGTGAGTGTGTGTCTTCGACACTCCATCAAACGTTGATGTTTTGGGATGGAAATGAAGTCCAAGAAGTGAAGGCCTTGGAGGATCCCTTGTCAACATAAGTGACCATAGTTGATTCAAATGAAAGGCTCAAAGCAAAAGGACATGGGCTTATGGAAGCAATCGCCCAGCCCTTTTGAGGAGGGCATTGTTGGACATGGGTCCAAAAGCACCTGAACGTGAAGGAGGCTCAAAGATAAAAGTGGAGTCAGAGCTCATTGGCCACGGAGCTGCTCAACAACAGTGGAGCTTCAAGCCTCGGAGCCAAAGACTGCTTGTGGTGCTTCCACAGGGCCAAAAGTAGCAGCCTCCATGGACCTTAGGGCAGCATCTCCTTGGACTATGGCGCCTCCATCCTGGATCAATGTTTCCATAAGGTCAGAAAGTGCTGTCTCCATTGGGTTGAAAACAACTACCTCAATTGGACTGCGATGCTTCCACAAAGCAGATGAAGGTTGCCTCCACAAGATAGAAAGCAACAACTTCCACGGATCATGGGATAACTACCTCCGTTGGCCCTGGGTTAATAATTTCGTACTTAACATTAG